CAAAGTACTTCAGAGTGTGCTGACCAACTCAAAGTGGGATCGTCGAAAAAGTCGAGATTTTTGACGCGTCCGGTAAGCAATGTTAGACCTCCCGTCAACACACGCGCGCCAGACACTTTTTCGACTTTTCGCGTGCGCGCATCAACATGTTAGATCATCGTGCCCATTTCGACTTTTCGAGCGCTCGCATCGACGTGTTAGATCAACGAAAGCTTTTCGACTTTTCGACTTTTTGACTTTTTGACTTTTCGACTTTTTGACTTTTTCGACTTTTCGACTTTTCGAACGCTCGCATCGACGTGTTAGATCATCGCAACCTTTTCGATTTTTTCGACTTTTTGACTTTTTGACTTTTTGACTTTTCGACTTTTCGACTTTTCGACTTTTTCGACTTTTCGACTTTTCGAACGCTCGCATCGACGTGTTAGATCATCGCAACCTTTTCGATTTTTTCGACTTTTTGACTTTTTGACTTTTCGACTTTTCGACTTTTCGGCCTTTCGACTTTTTCGACTTTTCGACTTTTCGAGCGCTCGCATCGACGTGTTAGATCATCGAAAGCTTTTCGACTTTTCGACTTTTTCGACTTTTTGACTTTTCGCGCGCGCGCATCGACGTGTTAGATCTACGCGATATTTTCGATATTTTCGACTTTTCGACTTTTCGCGCGCGCACAAATGTTAGATCCTGTGAAATATCAACTCCAAAAAAAGTCCGAAATTCCGATGTGGCGCGCAAGGGTCCAAAAAAAGCGTGAGCACCCCACCCCCTGGCAGGGAACGAATTTCCAGGTACCCTTTTGGACCAGTTCCACAGACTCCCCTACCCTGGGATATACGAAAGAGGAGCAAATAGCTCAATGACGAAATCGAAAGTGCAAGCAGCTTAGGCGGCAAGCATCAGTACAAATCGGCAGCAACTGTGAACTTCTCTTTCCTTGAAAATTGGGGCAAATAGCTCATTGACGAAATGGAAAGTGCAAGCAGCTCAGGCGGCAAGCATCTGTACAAATTGTCGGCAACTGTGAACTTCTTTTTTCATGAAAATTGGAGCAAATAGCTCATCGCCGTAATGGAAAGTGCAAGCAGCTTAGGCGGCAAGCATCAGTACAGATCGGCGGTGACTGTGAATTCTTTTTTTCTTGAAAATTGAGGCAAATAGTTCGTCGACGAAATGGAAAGTGCAAGCAGCTTACGCGGCAAGCATCTGTACAAATTGTCGGCAACTGTGAACTTCTTTTTTCATGAAAATTGGAGCAAATAGCTCATCGCCGTAATGGAAAGTGCAAGCAGCTTAGGCGGCAAGCATCAGTACAGATCGGCGGTGACTGTGAATTCTTTTTTTCTTGAAAATTGAGGCAAATAGTTCGTCGACGAAATGGAAAGTGCAAGCAGCTTACGCAGCAAGTATCTTTACAAATCATCAGTGACTGTGAACTTCTCTTTTCCTCCTTTCAGATTGAAGTCGCTTGCCTTCGGGCTTGCTTGATGTCTCTGGGGAGCCCTTTCAGATTGAAGTCGCTTGCCTTCGGGCTTGCTTGATGTCTCTGGGGAGCCCTTTCAGATTGAAGTCGCTTGCCTTCGGGCTTGCTTGATGTCTCTGGGGAAGATCTTGGCTTGGTTCTGACAGGCTCTACTGTGCCGTTTCATCACCACTCGAGCGAGCTCGTGGTGAGGACTCGAAACAGTTTTGACTGCTAGAATCAAAGTCCTGATGTGTTGTGTTCCAAAAAACCGGGAACCTCACCTCGCATAGAGTTCTCCGCTTAGGCGTATCGACGAACCAGGCGAATAGTGTGGAGCCCACGCCTGCTGATCCCCTTTTGTGGTTGAACGGTAGAGGCGAAAACATTAAAGTCGGGAAAGTCTTTTTTAGTTTTTCTCGCAATGGCGAATGAGGTGAACATCCTTGCCGATGGCTAGTCCTAAAGCATTTATGTAACACCAAATTCACTCGGAGGTGCGGACGCTTTGGAGTTTTTTTTCTTTATGGAATCAACAAAATCGCATCTAGCCTCCACCAAGGGGTGGCCTAAGCTACGTTTTGTCGGTCCATTTGAACAGGCAACTGTTTCGAAACTTTCAAACGCGTATGCTTGGTTTTCATTCCAGAGCAAAGTGGAATCGGAGAGATAGGAGGAATTCGTCCTGACCTTCCGTCCTGCTAGGGCATTTCGGTGCCCAAGCGAGACTGGGGTGAAGCGATTTCCAGCTTTCTCTGCGTTTTTCATTTAAACGCAGTGACTGCTAACGCTTTTGTGAAAAACACGGTCAGCTGAGCCTCTCCTCTTGCTTTTTTCGAAAGGAAAGGGGTGGGGCAAAGCTGATTCGGCTTTCTGAAGCTTGGCCTTGTTTCGCGCGAGGTCTTGCAGTGGGAAGTCGGAAAGAATTAGTTACCTGGTTGATTCTGCCAGTAGTCATATGCTTGTCTCAAAGATTAAGCCATGCATGTCTAAGTATACGCAAATTATACTGTGAAACTGCGAATGGCTCATTAAATCAGTTATAGTTTATTTGATGTTTCTTGCTACATGGATAACTGTGGTAATTCTAGAGCTAATACATGCGTAAAAAGCCCCGACTTCGGAAGGGGTGTATTTATTAGATAAAAACCATCCTCCTCGGAGTTTGGCGATTCATAATAACTTCTCGAATCGCACGGCCTTGTGCTGGCGATGCTTCATTCAAATATCTGCCCTATCAACTGTCGATGGTAGGATAGAGGCCTACCATGGTTGCAACGGGTAACGGGGAATAAGGGTTCGATTCCGGAGAGGGAGCCTGAGAAACGGCTACCACATCCAAGGAAGGCAGCAGGCGCGCAAATTACCCAATCCCGACACGGGGAGGTAGTGACAATAAATAACAATGCAGGGCCCTTTTGGGTCTTGTAATTGGAATGAGTACAATTTAAATCCCTTAACGAGGAACGATTGGAGGGCAAGTCTGGTGCCAGCAGCCGCGGTAATTCCAGCTCCAATAGCATATATTAAAGTTCCCTCCGGGGCCTAAGTAATTATTTTTGTCAGTTTTATTCACTTAGGAGGACTAAGGTCCAGAAGCGTTCACTTTATCTTAAATCTAACAATGCAGAAACTTTTCCATTCCTTTTTAGGAGTCCTTGAAGCGGTCCGGGGGGCTTAGTACGGGGTAAAACCCAGAAGCCAAAGGAGAAAAACTGTCTTTTATAAATCACGGGGGAATTCTTTAGCTTGAGCCTTAACCCCTCAAGTTTCATAATGCCTCCAAAAATTGCCAATGCGACACAAGTCGCTTCTGAAGGAACTCCAGCGGAGACAACCTCGGACAGACCGGTTTCCAAGCCAGAGAGCCCGATCAAAGCTGGGAGCCCTTCAAATGTAAGAGGGAATAAGAGAAAGCTGAGTGGGTTGGGAAACCCCCAGCTTAAGAAAGGCAAGAACCAGTTGATGCCGGATTCAGATTCATCTACTTCCAGCTCCTCTGACTCTGATGTCCCCCAAATAATTGAGCCTTCTAAAGATATAGATCAGCTCTCAAAATCGGCGAGCAGTCTGGAGGTGAGGGATGCAGCAATGGAGCCAGCGCCAGCTAGCTCCACAGCCTCCCCTTCAGCTGAAACCTCGTCAGCAACTAGCAAGTCGCACGGTGCCCTCCCCCCGAAGGATCCTTTTCCGGAGGTACTGGACTGGGCTGCCAAGGTGGAGATTGCAGAGGCTAAAAAGGCCCACAACGAAGCCTGGAAAACCGAGTGCAAAGACAAGGTGGCACAGAAGAAGCAGGCCAAGCTTGCCCAACTCGATGCGGATAGATTGGCTGGAAAGCCTCCACTGCGTGGGTGTGTCCAGTGCAAAACCCATCATTGGGAACAGGACCCTTGCCCGCCAAAGCCTATGGCCTCCCCTGAAAAGGAGGCCTCCAAAATCAAGTCCTCAGGTGTTGGCAAACGCAAGCACACTGGGGCAGAAATTGAGAATTCAGGAGGGCCCTCTAAAAAGGGTAAGAGTTGACGCAGGGCATGCGTGCGGCGGGGCTGGTACCCATCCGTGCATCCAACCAAAGTGGAGCCTCCACTTTGGAGTGGTTGATCCGCTTTGGATCTTCTTCGGATGCTGAGGAAGCCGTGGACAAGCCTTTCCACCTGCGGGGGGTTGAGGTTCGCCTCACCCCCTTTTTTAAGGAGGGGCTGCGGACCTTCATCTGCAAGACCTTGGGGCCTGTTTCAATGGCAGCTCTGATAAAGAGCATCCACAAATATGCCCCCAAAGCTAAATTTGGACTTCGAAGGGAAGAGGCCTTCGGTTGCATGGGTGACAAATGTCTTCTAACATTTGGACAGCCACAGAACTTCAACCGCATCTCCCTTGTCTTTAACACAGCACTATGGGTTGCAATTGTTTAGTTCCTGTACCGAGCCCTTCTGGCTCTGAAAACTTTTACAATAACTTGATTGCGTAAATATCATTTGAAGATGTCTAAGTCCATACTCATTGCATCTGTGAATGTCAGGTCTGTGTTGAGTGAAGTCCGTTTCCGTGAAGTTCTACATTTTTTCTGGATGTCAAAAATTGACATCCTCTGTATACAGGAAGCCCGCCTTTCTAGAGATTGAGCAGAACGTCTTAATGCTACATTCCCCGGCATGCGACTGCTCACTAACCCGAACAATACTGATGGCAATGGAGGAGTGGCAATAATGGTAAATCCCGAAACAGTAGATTTGCCTACTGCCACTTCCCCCTCTGTGTTAGGAAATTTTTCTTCTGAACTATACCTTTATGATGCTGAGGGCCGTCTCCTTGTTACAAATCTAAGTTGCAAAAATCAACAACTAAATGTCGCTTGTGTTTATGTCCCGGCTAATAGTACCCTTTGGGCCCTCTGGCTGGAAAATACAACAAATTTCCTAGTCTCATTGGAAAGTCGAATCTGGTGTGACCTTGTTGCAGGAGACTGGAACACTGTCATTAACACTATGGATCACACTTCTCGATGTCGACCTAACCTGCAAGAGAGACATAGGCTCCTGTCTTTTCTCTCTTTTCTGAATGACGAGACTGGACTACTTGATGGCTTCAGAGAGCATTTTCCTGACACTATTCTTTACACTCACAAAAGTCCAAATAGTGAAGCCCGCCTAGACCAAATATATGTAACACCTGCCCTGTATCACCGATCGTTTGATTGGAAAACACATGTATTACCTAACTCTCTTAACCTCGATCATGACATGGTTGCTGTTGGATTTAAACCGATTATTGAGTCCAAGCGTGGACCTGGCCGTTTTCATTTTAAATGTAACCTTATGAAATCAAAACCTGTTCAAGAGTGTCTCACACTCTTCATTAATAAGATCAGAGAGATGCCTGTGACTCCAAGCAGATGGGCATCCCTTAAAAATGATTTAGAGAAATCACTCTCGGTTGTGGTACGCACTAAGACTCATGCCTTGTCGGCAAAACATTCCCAAATTAAACGGAAACGCCTGAGACTCCTGCTACAACGACGTGCCTCTCCAAACCCCTCACTAGAGCAAAAAATTAATGCTATAATTGCTAGGGAAGGCCAACTGAATGAATTTGCTACCAGAGCCTATGCCTATAGTGCCTTGGCCAAAAATCGTCTGTTAGGGGAGAAACCCACTCGCTGGTTTTACTCCCGTTTTTCTGCCTCTTCCCTTACTGCTATTACTGCACTCCAATCTCGCCCAGGAGGTCCCATCGTGGAAAACCCACCTGACCTCCCTGTTGTAGCAGCTGCCTTTTATGAAGTGCTCTTCGCAGAACAGCCTACTAATGCCCGCAAAGGCCGTGAATTCATCGACCTTATGCCTAAGATCCCGAGAGCTCTGGGTGAATCCATTTCTGCTCCCATTACCTCCACTGAGGTAAGAGCTGCTATCAAAGGGGCGCCTACAGGTAAGTCGCCTGGACCAGATGGTTTACCAATTGAGTTACTTAAAGAGGTCCTCAAATCCTCCTCAGAAAATGCTGAATATCTGTGCGAAGGTCTTGCCCACTTTTTCAACTCCCTCCTTCGGGGTGAAGTGGCAGCTGAGTCCTTTTCGATTGGAGTCCTCTCCATCCTGTACAAAAACCATGGTTCAACTCTGGACCTCAAGAATTATCGACCTCTCACTGTAGCAAATATGGATTATAAGCTGTTTACTAGCATTCTCACATGCCGGCTCTGCACTGCTCTTGATGATGTCATAGGCTCGCATCAATATGCCTTCTTGCCAGGAAGACTTATTGATGACAACATAAGATTGGTCCAGTCGATTATTGAAGAAAATAAAGGTCGAGAAAATGATGGCATCTATCTCCTATTTATCGACCAAGAAAAAGCATATGATCATGTTGACCACAATTTTTTCTGGCACTTATTGAAAAAGGTCGGCCTCCCCCGACCTATTCGACGGGCCATCAGGGCCCTCTATGCCGATATCAAGCTCAAAGTCATGGTAAATGGCTTTACAAGTTCCGCCTTTCCTGTGATGAGTGGTGTGCGACAAGGGGACCCTCTTAGTTGTGTCCTTTATGTCCTTTTTCTAGAACCCCTTATCAGGAAACTAAATGCCTCTGAAATTGAAGGAATTCCAATTCCGAACTCTGAACTAACTAACCCAAAAAAAATCGAGTATACTCCGGGTGGGGAACCCCCCTGCAATTGCAATCCTGGAAGTTACTTATGTCACTCCAGAAAATCCATACTTGCACCTTGGCATTCCTATGGGAACAGATACCATGGCCCAGGTCCAAACTCTCTGGGAAGACGTCCGTATGAACTTTGAGAACATTGCCAATAAATGGTCCGGAGCTCATCTCTCGTTGAAGGGTAGAGTAATGGTGGCAAACAGCCTCATGCTCTCCCTCCCTCGATATCATCTCAAATTCATCCCCATTTCCACACAAACACTGAAAAAGCTTGTGAAAATCTACTATGATTTCATCTGGGTACATAAAGTCCATCAGAAACTCCATGACTCTCATGCTCTCCTCCCACCTGAAAGAGGGGGGATTGGCAGTTTCGACCTTGCTAGTGTTGTTACTGCCCTAAGCGTGGAGATGATCTCAAAGCTCGAGTATTGTGGGGACCTACCATGGGTCCAGATCCAACATTGCTTACTCAAAAACCTCCATACTCGCACTCAGGGAGAAATCTCTTCTGTAATCACTCGCCCATGGATACAGAGGATATCGAGTAGAGAACTCCAGGAAGACGTCCTGCCATCATGTGTACGCCACCTTTGGCTCCACTGGCGTCGTGCCCTTAATGCTGATTCAGACACCATCCTGCTTTGCTCCCCTGCCACAAAACAGGATGTGCTGAATACCAACTTCTGGTATCATAAGGACCTCAAAACCCTCCCTAGACAAGGGGCTCGACACTTCTCCAATAATACCTATAGGTTTCTGGCAGATCATGACGTGACAAAGATTGGAGACATCTGGGATGCGGACAACCAAGAGGTTATCTTCCCAGCAATGCTCCCAAACTCTCAAAGACGTGCCATGAAGCAGGCAGTTATGACCCTAATTCATGACCTCCCTGACTCGTGGCTCCAACTCCTTGAAGGAAACCTCTCTGGCACCACTCCAAATAATGGCCAATTGTGCCTCACAGTGGTACAAGGTAACCTCAAAAATGCTTTACCTCTTGAAAAAGTTGGCTTCCGCCTGATCTACCGCCAATTGGTATTGAAAAAGACCGCAAATGTGAACTATGACCATCGTGTCCAACCCATTTTGCAAGCCTATCAAAGACACACTGGCAGACCTGGGAGTCCGGAAATGATCTGGCGTACAGCATGACAAGAATTCCTTACCCCAAAGCAAGGTGACCTTTTATGGCGCCTGCTCCATGACAAGGTACGGGTGGGCCAAGACCTACACTGGCTAGATCCAGAGGATCAACAATGCCCCCTCTGTCATGAGCTCTCTTCCATTGAACACCTCTGGATCTGATGCCCCGCTGCAAGGCAGATATGGGATCTCGTCAATATCATATGGGCTAAGGCCTGGAACCTGACTACCCCTGAAGTAGCACGACCACCTTTCCCTCAAATTGAAACCAGATATGACCTTGCATGCTGGCTCGCACTTTTGCCCGTACCTGACCGATCCCAGTCTCACCACTGGAAAATCCTAGTCGGGATGGCAGTGTGGTCGATCTGGATATCCTACCTCCGATGGAGCTTCAAGGAAGAGCCCTCTGCTCTCCTACCAGCCTCAATCTCTGTGCTCTTTCTCACCAACTTGCACAACCGATTTCAGGAAGACTGCCTCTTATCCTTGAATACACTTTATGCTAACAAGACATATAATGTGGAAACTTTCCAACAAGTCTGGGGTCAGACCCCCTCCACTGCCAAGGCAGCTAATTCTGACCTCGAAATACTGCCCCCCATTTCCTAAAATGCCCCAATCTCGGGACAGGCTGACCTGGTCGAGGTACCCTAAATCCCTCCACCTCAAGGTCGACTGTCGGCACTCTCCTAAACAGGGCACAGGCTGATGGGTTCGATTCCCTATTGGGTCAGCGTGGTGCCAGCCCCATCCCTGTATAAATATTCTGGAAATATTGATCCAATAGCATATATTAAAGTTGTTGCAGTTAAAAAGCTCATAGTTGAAGTTTGGTCTCGGACGCTGGGTCTGCTTCATTGCATGTACTTGGCGGTCCGAGACTTCCTTCCTGGTGAACAGCTGCCTTCAGGTGGTCCGGAACCAGGACCATTACTTTGAAAAAATTAGAGTGTTCAAAGCAGGCCATAGGCCTGAATATATTAGCATGGAATAACAGAATAGGACATGTGGTTCTATTTTGTTGGTTTCTAGAACTGCCGTAATGATTAAAAGGGACAGCCAGGGGCATTAGTATTTGCACACTAGAGGTGAAATTCTTGGATTGTACAAAGACTTCCTACTGCAAAAGCATTTGCCAAGAATGTTTTCATTAATCAAGAACGAAGGTTAGGGTATCGAAAACGATTAGATACCATTGTAGTCTTAACAGTAAACTATGCCGACTCCAAATTGGTTGATGCTCATTTCACTGGCTCGATCAGTGTGGTACGAGAAATCAAAGTTTTTGGGTTCTGGGGGGAGTATGGTCGCAAGGCTGAAACTTAAAGAAATTGATGGAAGGGCACCACCAGGAGTGGAGCCTGCAGCTTAATTTGACTCAACATGGGAAAACTCACTGGGTCCGGACATAGTAAGGATTGACAGATTGATGGCGCTTTCATGATTCTATGGGTGGTGGTGCATGGTGTTAAGGGATCAGGCAGTATCTGTTCGAGAGTAACTGAGTCGATGATTTTAGATGAGTAAATACATGAAATATAGTGCATATATATAGATGATTTGTCTGCTAAGCATGTGTGTGAGAATATGGCTAAGTCAAGTGAATCTATCGTGTACAGCTTGAAGGGGATGTCTTTTGGGGACAAGAGAGAATCGTCGAGTACAAAGGGGATGGGGTTGCATGAGAATGTTGCAACCATAAATGGAGTTTGTTGTTGAGTTTTGGTGAAATGGAGGAACAAAGGTATTTGAGAGAAATGTGAATCAAAGGGGACTCATGAGAATGAGAAAGATATGCAGGTCTAGAAATCAGTTGGCAAAATGAGACGCACATGTCGAATTTTAACTGTCCCCCTCGCCATCTGAGGAAGTAGGGCTTTTACCAGGTTCAATGGGACTTTGGCAAGTAAAGCCTAATCGCTGATGTGCAGTAGTCATTAGGTGTCGGCTTACTGGCTTAGTCAAGAAGTCTGCGACATTATCAAGGGTTTTGACATATCCAATATCTACTTCCCTTTCTTGGACCGAGAAACAAAGAAAGTGGTATCTAGTGTCGATATGCTTAAGTTTGGCATGATTAACTGGGTCTCGTCCTACTTGTATACAACCAGTGTTGTCTGTTAGGATCTTGGGTACGAAATCTCCTATATCCAAGCCTTGTAGGAGATATCTATAGAAAAGTGCCTCTCGAGAGGCTTCGGACACTGCTACAAA